ACCAATCGAGTTTGTCCACTACGCCAAGTGATAGCAATCGCATCCTGCTTGGATAAAGGATCCGTTGAATTATTAAGATAGAATCTAAGTCTGCAGTCTCCTTTATCTTCTTCGAGTTCATTTTTTTCTGGAAGTTTTAAATTATTTAAATTACTAAGATCAAAAAGATCAATTAAATAACCGTTATAATTCACTTTTAAATTATTTACCTAAAACAAAGGTGCCAATCACGAATTTGGAGAGTCGAAAATCGAAGAAAGGTTTTCGTGGTGGTTTCATGGGCGCCATTCGGGGACGTTTGTAATAACTTTGGCCCCGGTGTGTAGAGCCTCCTTGGCGTTTGAATGGCCCTGACATTTTATAAATAACTGGTATCTAGAGTTTTATGTATTAAACTCGATCTCGATCTCGCTCATGAAAGTCTCCTATTTATACTTTGTACACTTACATAATTATTTAATTGTATGACAGGTAAAAGTTCACAATTTATCACGTGCTAACGATTAAACATTGATATTTATGCATGAATTCAAGCGATGTTTTCATATCACTATTTAAAGTCCATCAATATTTATCAGTTTTTAAAATAATTAAAAATAAAATAACGTTTACACATAAGAGATTCGCATTTCATATTATTATCTACTTTTGGTGTGATCTGTATATTTAATCAATTAACACTATAATAATCCGGTCAAGGGTCCAATATTATCAAACTTCACCGGCTGATCATGTCCATAGTTTTAATGAATGATCTGCACCTGAAGATATTATCCATGGTTGAGTAGGATGAAACTCGCAATGTAAAACACCTACATAAATGTAAAATTTTAAATGAAGATTAATTTATTTAATTAAAAAAAAAAAAAAAAAAAAAGGTAATTGCATGACATTCCAAATGATTTAATTGGTAGGATATGACGGATTTGTCAAATAAAATCCCGACCCAGTGCGGACTAGTATATCGGGGTTTTGACTCTTCGGGATTTTGATCGGCTTTTAGAAAAGGGACAATTTTATATGAATTTTGAGGAATTACCTAGATTGTCTACTACTTGATGACCTGTCTTTAATATCTTTACAGGAACAATCAAGGGATTTTGAAGCAGATCATTATAAACCATGCCATGAAATATTTGGATGGTTCCGTCGTCACTACACGATGCAAAAAGCGGAAGACGTTTGTGGAAAGCAACACTGCGAATAGC